CATCAGGGCACAGGGAGCTGCACTGTGAGCACAGGGCTTTGGGATGAGTGGAGAGAGGACACCTGAAAAGGAGACCGCCTTTTGCAGTAGGGGGATGCGGGTAATGACGCCCAGGCACTGGGTACCAGAGCCGTGGGTGCCAGAGCTGTGGGTGCCGGCTGGCCCCAGCTTTCCTGGCTGAAGCTGCCTTGCTATGAGCACCCGCAATGGCTTTCTGTGACTCAGGAGTGAGGATCCCAACTCGAGCGGGTGCCATGGTATAAGCCCATGGCGTCAGCACCTCGGCAGCCCTACCAGGCCTGCAAGCTGAGTCCACACATCTCATGGGCAAGGCGGGCAGAGTTGGGGTGCCAGGGTCACTCRGTCTGTCACCCTGTGTGGCGGCTGTCACAGCACTCGGTGCCTGTCAGTCAAGTGCAAACCAATCCCCAAATGAGGAACCACCTCGTGTCCTCAGCGAGTGCCAGAGAGCAGCGGGGCCCAGATGGAGAAGTCCTGATGGCAGAGGCAAGGGAACATCCCGGCCTGGTGTCTGAGTGCTGCTGGCACTGTGCTCCAGGTAGGACATGCACGGGGCACTGGGGTTCTTGGGTCCAAACAGGCCAGCCATGGGACAGCGTGGGCCCCATAGCACTGCAGGGCTCTCCGTGAGCYGCACGGCAACCCTGGAGAGTCTTAGGTTTGGGAATGGGCTCCGTCCCCCGGTTCCCTCTAGAGAGTGGCCCCAGGTTTGCACTAGGTGTTGCCGACCTGTGGTGCTGACAGCGTGGGTTGTCACACGCCAAGGGCCAGCCCAACCTGGCCATCCTGTCCAGTTTGGGAGTGGGCTGGGGTGATGTGACAGCAGAGAGGAGTGTGGGCAAGAGCTCTAGTAAGGGGAAAGAGCGGGAGAAAGGGAGGAGAGGGTGCCCAGGCACACTCAAACATTGCTCTGGGCAGCACCCACTGTGCATCCTTGCAGCACAGTCAGAAGCACAAGAGGAATCGAATCTGCAGAGCTGGGCACCAGAAACGCCTATAAATACACGCAGCAATTCAGGGCTGGTGGCTCGGTCCCAGGCAAGCGGACAGCTTGGTGTAGGAACAGTGAAGGGCAGGGACATGGGAGGTGAGCTGGGTGCTTTGCCCTGGGGGGCACTAAGACCTGCCTGGCAGTGCAGCAGCCCATGTTGAGCACCAGCCCGTGGAATAGCTCTGTCCTGCTCCTGGCCATGCTGTGCGTCCCTGTCCCTGGTCCAGGTGACACGGGAACAGCCAGGGCTCAGCTCTGAGGAGGAGGATGTACTGGAGCCACTGAGAAGGWCAGTGGGCCTGGCGAGGCTCCGAGCACCTTGGAGAACATTTGCAGCACGGCCGATGCTCTCTGCCGTAGCCAGCCCCTCTCTGATCCTCTCAGCCAGCCCCTATCCTGGGGGTGGGTGCTGCTGGCTGCTCTCCAGGGAGTCAGTGCTGCTTCTCACCAGGGTTCAGCCCCGGGTGTAAGTGGCCAGGCTTGGAGCGGAGCACCTTGCCCTGGCTGGGGCACGCGGGCTGCATCTTTTCTCTGGATGGCTCACAGGGAATCTCAGGGCTGAGTGGGGTGCTCAGCACTGCCACGACCCGTGCTGTCCTGGCGCTGCCCTAGGCCAGCCGYGTAGCCTTGCACGGCAGCACCAGGCTCCTCAGGCTCATCGCTGCTCTCTGCCCCACTTCGTCTCCTGCTCTTGGCACAGTTTTCCCTCTGGGGTAGATTCAGAAGGGTCTTGCGTCCAGAACTTCTGCATCTCCCAGTCAGGGCACTCTGGGCATTGGAGCCTGTGAGCCAAAGCTCCGTGGGAGAGCGGAGCCCTCGCATCCCTGCCCGAGCCCTGCCACAGGGCGGCTGGGGGGCAGCACCACTGTGAGCCCTGCCATGGGGCGTCCTGAGGGGCAGCACCACTGCGAGCCCTGCCATGGGGTGTCCTGAGGGGCAGCACCACTGCGAGCCCTGCCACAGGGCGTCTGGAGGGGCAGCACCACTGCGAGCCCTGCCACAGGGCATCCTGACGGGTAAAGCCACTGCAAGCCCTGCCACAGGGCGGCTGGGGGGCAGCACCACTGCGAGCCCTGCCATGGGGCGTCCTGAGGGGCAGCGCCAGCCGGGCACTGCTCTTGCTGCCGGCAGCCAGGCTGCCAGAGGTGCTGGGCCAGCCYGCAAGGATGGAGGGAGGGACAGCCCTGGCGCTGTGCACAAGGCACAGCCTGCCAGCCTGTGGGTGCTCCCATCCCTCCGTGCCAGGAAATATCTGCCAAGCACAGCTGGCAGCCCCATCCTGTCCCCACGGCCATCACCACATGCCCTCCACGGGGGATCCACCTCAAGGCCTCCGAGGGCAGCGGGTGGGCCAGTGCCACGAGGACAGGCCCCACGGCGGCAGCCGAAGCGCCGGGGGGGGCGTCCAAAAGGGGAGCCTGTTTCACCAGGGAGGCAGCTGCCCAAAGCATCGGGCCAGCACATTTTGCTGCGGTGTCTGAGGCTGCGGAAGGAGCAGGGTTGTGGAAAGGGGACAGGAAGGGAGAGGGAGTCGCGGCAGGGTCACGGGGCTCGGCTTCGGGAAGGCCATGGGATGTGGTTAGCCACAGGCCGCACGCAAGGCAGCGCGCGCCAGGGCAGGCCGAGCGCCAGCGCTCCAGCCTGGCACTGCTCCGCTGGGACAGTCCCCTGGTGCTCAGGGCCAGCGTGAGCCAACCTTGAGATAGCCCAGCCTCGGCCGCAGGGCTGCTCCCTGGGTGGAGTGATGTCTGCAATAGGACGGTAGATGGTTCCGGAGGGAGCGGGGAGGCTGCGATGCCGCTGGGAGCATCCTGAGGAGCGTGCGGCCGCAGCTGGGCAGGGGTCCCCCCGGCCCGGGCAGTGTTCCTGGGAGCAGAGCAGGTTTCCAAGTTCCCGTCTGCAAATGGCAAGGCTGGCCCCAGGCATGTGCACGGCCTCTTCCCCCTCAGCATGTGAAACCCCAGCATTTCACAACACAGCCACCAAATCTGCCCCGGGACTGGAGCTGCCCAGCCCCGTAAGGTGAGCACGGGGCTGGCACTGCTGCTAGGCAGACACTGAGCTGACTCCCACACATCCCAGAGGGGCTCAAGGTGCAGGGTCCAAACACTGGGACAGCTGTGTGACCTGAGGACCCTGAGGGCACAGGCCAAGGAGCTCTCAGCCCCCGGTAGTACCAGCTCTGCAGCTCTCACCCAACAAGGGCACTTACATGGGTCTTTCCCTTTCTAACCACGCTGGCCTGGCGGCCTGCGGGGCTCTCCCAGCCTGACCACCATGTACCAGCCTCTCTCCATTTTGCCCTGCAGATATTTTCACCAGCCAGCGGCCGCTGCCTTCGCAGACACAGCTGGGCTACGAGGAGCCGCCCTGCTTCACGCCCATGGCCGAGCCCCCATACAGCAGCAGCAGTGGCAGCGCGGCCGCCCTGCCCACCCTCCCCGCCAGTGCCCTCGTGGGGCCCCGGGCGCTGCCYGCCAGCCCCGACACCCCGTTGCCTCCCAGCAGCCTCTTGCAGGTGAGCGGGGATCCGGCCCGCGGCCCGCGCGGCCCCCGAGACTCCGCTCCTGACCCCTCTGTGTCTCCACAGGGCAGCAGCACGGCCCAGCTCAGCCTCCACGGCGCCTTCCTGGGCTCCCAATTCCCCCCAGCTCCAGTGGCCTCCGACTCGCCCGCTTTGGCGCAGGGCAGCCTCAGCCCCGCGCTCCAGCACAAGCCCTCGCTGCAGTACCCATTTCCCAGCAAGTGCCTCAGTGTGGAGCCCTTCGCTTCCCCCTACTCCAGCCCGAGCCCGTCGCCCAGCACGCCACTTCTAGACCGCAGTCCTCACTACCCGCCCGCCTCTGTGCCCCGCTCCACGCTCCCCTACCCCGGCTCCCCCGGCTCCTCGCTCATCTCGGCTTCGCCGCTCTCCGCGCCGTGCTTTGCTCCGCATGCCCCGGCCATTGGCTACCCCATGGACCTGATGCCTCCAGGATACCCAGCCCTGGGCGGCCCCCAGCACCTGCCCCACGCGGTGCTGAGCAGCCCCAGGTTTGCAGTGCCCAAAGAGCTGGCGCAGAGCGGGGGCGGCCGGCCGAAGGCAAAGCCCAGCAGCAGCAGCAAGGCAAGAAGAGCCCAGGGGCCGCTGGTGCCACCACACCCGGCTGTGCCCAACCCCTGCCTGACCCAGCTGCTGACCACAGGTAACCCAATCATGGAGGGAGACCAGGTGTGCAGGTGGTGGGGAGAAGGGGCGGCATGATGCCACCGGATTATGGGAGCAATGGAGAGAGGGCCAGACCTCAGCTTCTCCCTCAGGAAGAGGACATGAGGGATGCTGGTCCTGGGCCTGGATGTCCCTCAGTGAAGCAGGAGTGGACCATCAGTGCCAAAGAACCCATAAACAGCAATATACCTGGATAAGGACCTCTGCACTGTCCTCCTGGGCACAGCACAACAGCTGATCTTCTCCAGCCAGACCTGGAGCTTGGCCAGAGACACTGCTGTGAAGTCTTGTGTGTCCCCAGCCTGGGGGGGTGTGTCCCCAGCCACCGCRCAGACAGGCTGAGGGGCTGGCAGTGTCCCTCTCCCACCTGGTGCCAGCATGTGTAAAGTAATGGGCTCCACAGAGGCTTGTTGTACACAGCCCTGTGCTTGGGCACAGCTTGCTGAGGAGAGGCCCAGAGTCTTCGTCTGCACTGTGTCCTGGGTGAGGACATGCCCAATGCAGAGGGCCAAGCACAACCTGCATCTTCCCCATGGCTTGGGCATCCGCCACAGGGCAGGCAGGGAAGGGGCTGTAGCAACATCGGTGCTTGGGGCTGGGTGTCCCTATGGGGCCCAAAAAGGCGACCCAAGCACCAGTGCTGCTGTGCCACAAACTCCTCCTGCTCCCTGCTCTCTTGCAGCCAAACAGGAGCCGACGCTGGATGCCCCCCACACGCACAGCGCTGGGCTCATGCCCGCAGCGCCCGCCTCCCCGGTAAGCACTCACCTGCCCTCCGGCTTGGGAATGGCCCTCCTGGTCGCTGTAGCGTGGGCAGAGCCACCCTGCACTTGTGGGGAATGGGACTCTGTTGGGTCCCCTTTGCAAAATGGGGCTGTAGGGGCATGGGGCAAAGCAGGGAACCTGTGGCCAGGGTGCCAGGGAAGGCTCAGCAGAGGCTGAGCCAGGCTGGGAGAGACTCACTTCAGCGTTTTCTCGAGTGAAAGGAGTGGGGCAGAGCTGGGGACCGCTGCACTTGGGGGATGTACCCCTGGGAGAGCCTCCTGCGGGATATGGGGCCTTGCAGCAGTGGCCATGGGGGTCTGCTCGTGCCGCCCGGGGCTGTGTGGGTCTGYACACGGGATCCTCGCATGAAGGGGCTGCACCCCCTCCTTCCTAGTTGTGTTGCGGGTGACCAGCTGTCAGACCTGGGGCACAGACCAAGCAAATCGTCCCCGTGCCCTGGGGAAAGGTCCAGCCCTGGTGTGCATGGGCTGACGGCCCCCCAACCTCCCGCTCCCTTCTGCCTTCTCTCAGCAGCACAGTGGTGTCTCCGATGTCCCTTCCGCCCTCCTGCCCAGAATGGCCCAGCTGAGCCCAGGACCTGTAGCTGGCTCCAGCCCTTGCCCGGCTCTGCTGGGCCCGCCAGACCTGCTGCTGGTACCCAAGGTGGAGCAGCTTTCCCCCACGCTGGCCTGTGGTGAGTGTGGGAGCACCCCCAGGGCAAGGGCGCCTGGCTCTGCAGCCGTGCGCACCCGGAGGCCTGCGCAGAACAGCACCCGAGGCCTCTGCAGGCCCACGGCCCTGGCCCCCTGAGTTGGGACCTTGTGGTGGCCCCGCGCAGGCAGCACCAAGGGCTGCAGGTGCTTGTGGAGTTCCCTGCCGGGGCTGGGAAGGCAGGGAAGCCCCTCCGTGTGGGGTCGGCCCGAGGTCTGGCACCATCCCAGACTGCAACACGCTGCAAAACTGGGAGAGAGCCTGGACCAAGTGCAGACGCTGCTGGCAGCGCTTCATTTCTGCTTCACTCGGAATTACCAAGCAGAGTACGGGTGATTTCTTTTACAATTGCCAAATGGAGTACTGAGGCACARCCCCTTCCCTCAGTTCATTCTGCACAGACAAAACAGAAGCAGGAAAAGACAAAAAAGGAGCAAAATGTCAGGCTGCGGTTTTGAAAACCCTGAGCTTGGTTTTTGAGTGGGAAACACCCTCCTTTCACTCACAGGAACCTGAAGGGCAGGCTGGCAATCACGCTTTTGCCTCAATTCCAGTTTCATTTTGCCATTGCAGGCTGCAGCCCTTCAGCCCCCAGGACACTCTCCYGGCAATTTCTGCCCTCAGAAACACTGCAAATCCAAAGCACCATGCCTCAAATGTTCTCATTTTCTGAGCAGTTTATGAGCTGAGAGTGACTTTCTGTCTGGAATGCGATGAGAAAAGGCCATAAGAAGTAGCTGGATGCTAGACCAGAGGTCCCTGTGCATTCAGGAGATTTGGCTGCCGCTAAGGCAGGACTAATGGGGCTGACTGCTGCCCTCTGCCCAGCCCAGGGCCGGCCCTGGGACCTGGCAGCAGCCACCACGAAGGCGAACGCGCTGCTGAGCGTCTCCCCACCCTGTCTTGCTTCATCTTGCAGGCAGCGACTGGCCCAAGCCCAGCCAGGCATCTCGCAGCCCCCCCAGCRCACTGGGCCCTGGCATCGCCCTGCACCCCCACGCTGCCCGTCGGGGCAGGACGGAGTCCAGCAAGGTGAGGCAGGAGCYGGCGCTGCCCTCGGGCTCGGCGGGACCGGCCAGCAGTGCGACCAGCTGCCCCTTCCCTGCTGAGCCCCCGGTTCATCCCCACGGGTGCCRCTGCCCTGCCGTGCGGCTGGGCCAGCCCAACTCCCGCGTGGGGGGACGCACAGGTGGCCCTCGCCAGCCCTGCCACCTGTGACGCTGCCCTTGCCTGCAGACCGAGAGCCGCCGCATCACGCACATCTCCGCCGAGCAGAAGAGACGCTTCAACATCAAGCTGGGCTTTGACACGCTGCACAGCCTGGTGAGCACACTGAGTGCCCAGCCCAGCATCAAGGTGAGTGGCCGGGCCGAGCGCGCGGGGCAGCCTGCGCCCGGCCTGCACCCGCATGCAGGGCTGTCCTGCGCCGTGGGGCAGCCTGTGCCCAGCCWGCACCCGCATRCAGGGCTSTCCTGCGCCATGGGGCAACCTGTGCCCAGCCWGCACCCGCATGCAGGGCTCTCCTGCGCCGTGGGGCAGCAGTGCAGGGGGCCCGGGCCCACGCTGCGCACCCGCAGTCTTGGGACAGTGGCCTGGGATCATCTGGGAAGCGATACCAAAGCTGGGCAGCTACTGGACCTCTTGACCCCCTCCACCTCCCGCCTTGGTTGGAGCCTGCGCAAGCCGCCTGCCCGGACGCACAAGGAGGCTCCTGGCCTGCCTGCCACCAGGGTTCCCTTTGCTGTCTCGCAGGTCAGCAAGGCCACCACCTTGCAGAAGACAGCAGAATACATCTGCAAGCTGCAGCAGGAGCGCGCAGCCCTGCAGGATGAGGCGCAGCGGCTGCGGGAGCAGATCGAGGAGCTCAACGGCTCCATCAAGTAGGGAGGTTGGCCAGGGGGAGGTGGGAGGGAGCTGCTGCMGGGGCCGGGATGGGCAGGCGAGGGAGCTGGGAGGTGCCAGCCGATCTCCCGAGCACTTCCCAGGGAAGCAGGGCCTGCCCTGCATCCCCTCACCCTCCTTTGGGGGCACACCCTGGAGGAAGCAGGTGCCAGACGGGACCACGGCACCCCTTGTGTCCCCGCAGCCTGTGCCAGGAGCAGCTGCCCGCCACAGGGGTGCCCATCACGCGCCAGCGCTTTGACCAGATGCGCAGCATGTTCGACGAGTACGTGCGCTCCTGCACGCTGCAGAACTGGAAGTTCTGGATTGTATCCTTCGAGGCCGGCTCTTGCTCCTTGCTCTCTCCCCCTCCACTGGCCRCTCTGCCCCAATTGTGTGAGACACCTCCAGCCTCAGGGGCTCTGGGAACCATGGGGGAATGTTTCTCTGTCAGTGACGCTGCTGGGAACACGCTGAAGAGCCATGGGGCAGAGGAGGGAGGAAGATCCCTTTACAGGGGAACAGAGAATAGCAGTATGTGGTCAGTGCTCAGAGAGAAGTCACCAGCAGGGCTGAGCTGACCATCACCGTGCAGGGAAGAGCTCCTGGTGACATAGGACTTAGCTCTGAGATGCCAGCAGCCATCAAAACAGATTAAGAAAGGAGGAGAAACAGACTTGGGGATGCAGTGACAGAGCCTCCATGGTCGGTGTGGCTCATCATGGAGACCCAGGTGTGCTTGTGCCCTGGGGCAGTTCTGGGCTCTGCATGGTAAAAAGCATGGAGGACACTGAGAAACAGCAGTGGTTAGAGGGCTGGACCATCATTCACATGAGCAGTGATTAAACACACGAGGCCTTGAGCCTGCAGAGAGATATCTGTGAGGTCTGCAAACTCACGAGGGGCAGAGGCATAGGCAGAACTCACTGCAGAGACCAGGGTCAAAGCAGAGTTGGTTCCTCACATCAAGTTTGGGGAGCTGTGCTGCTCCTTCCACAGGACATTGGGGATATGAAACCTGATATGGGCTCCAGTAGTGGACAAGTTCCCAGTGCAGGAATCTGTTGTGGATTACTRAAAACACAGAAGTCACCCATGGCACGACAAGTCACCCTGGAGGCAGCAAGAACCCAAGGAAAGATACTCGCTTGTACCCTGCCCTGCTCCCCGGCCCCTGTGGAGGACACTTGGCAAGCTGCCTCCTTGATCCGATCAGGAAAAGCTCTCCCATGTCTAATTCCCACTGCTTGCACTCGGCTGTGTGCTGCAGCCTCCATGCTGGTCCTTGGGTCCCCACAGGTGCCACCTGCACACACGGACACGTCTGAGCCCCATATGCTGCAGTGTCTTACCCAAGAAGGGCATTCAGGACTCCAGCGGGGGCCCTTCCCTGCTGGGTCCCCGTGGTGCCCAACACAGTGCTGTGCCGAGGACGGCAGCCCCCAGGCCGGGTGTGCGTAGGGAGCCAGGCAGGTTGGTCCTGCTGCYTGTATGCTGGTGCTCGCTGCACCAGGAGCCAGCAGGAAGAGTGGGGAGAAGATGGTGCCCTTGGCGAGGCCGCTCCTTAACTCCCCTGCTCCCATCAGTTCAGTATCATCATTCGGCCTCTCTTYGAGTCCTTCAACGGCATGGTCTCCACGGCCAGCATGGAGAGCCTCACGCAGACGTCGCTTGCCTGGCTGGACCAGCACTGCTCTCTGCCGGCCCTTCGGCCCAGTAGGTAGCCACATTGGTGTCCGCAGCCACCTCCAAGAGGGCAGGTTGGCCCCGGGGCTCCAGCTGCTCACCTGTGGAAAACCAGGGGGGCTGGAGGGCCACGGCGTGCTGGGGAGCGCTGGGCACTGCCCAGCCCTGGACAGGGAAGCCCCCRCGGGGCTTAGGGCTGTGCAGGCCCCCTGGCTCGTTCCCAGCACGCGCTCCAGCCAGGCCCCTGCCCCAGGAGCCCACGGCGCCGGGGCAGCATCGAGCTGCCCGCACAGCCCCTCAGGGTGGGCTCTGCTCCCCCTCCGGGGGCAGCCCCACCGTGCCAGCGGCAGGGCAGGGCTGGGGACAGGGAAGGGCATTGGCATTCCCTGTGGAACGGCAGACGCGCAGTGGTGCCGGGGGAAGCCCAAGAGCCCTGTGCATCTCTCCCCAGCYGTGCTGAGCTCTCTGCGCCAGCTGAGCATCTCCACGTCCATCCTCAGCGACCCGGCATGTGTCCCCGAGCAGGCGGCGCGGGCAGTGGCGGGAGCGGGACACGGCACCGGCTCCTCCTAGCCGCCAGCGGCCTTCCCAGCGGAGCAGCCTTCGCAGGATGAGCCCCCGGGGCAGCAGCCAAGGCAGGACAAGGGGCTGCACTCCAGCACCCGACAGTGACGGCGAGGGCGGACGGGACCTCTCTGTCCTGCACACAGCGGCGCCCAGAGGCCCTTCCCGGCGCTTGCAGCCTGCAGGCGGTGGCGCCGCCGCGCAGGGCGCCCAGGGCTCCAAAGGCGGCGCGGGGCGCGGGCAGGGCCGGGCCGGAGCTCGCGCAGCGCCCGGGCCGCCCCCGTGTCTGTGCCATAAAGGACTCGCTCTGCTCCCAGGCTGCTCC